GCACTACCCCAACTGGTGCCTTCCAGATGCAGCGCCTATCTATCAAGGTGATGAAGATGGTGTCCACCATAGCCAGGTAGGTACCTCGCCACTCTCCTCCTTGGTCCTCTTCCCCCTCCTCCTCCTACCGTTAGAGCTCCACCATAGCTGAGGTGCAAGCTCCCAGCCTTCTTGCTCTCAGCAGCGCTGTAGTAGCCAGCGGTCCTCCAGCCAGCGCTCCAGCAGTGTGTCGCCAAACTTGCACACCGAAGAATGAGGCTGGGCTCTTCGCTCAGCCTCAAGATATAGTGGCCTACTTGCCTCTTGGGCAGTGACTTCCAGGCCGCTCGGCCTCCCGGGCAACCGATACCTCCTCCCTTTCGGAGGGAAACATCATTGCAGACTCTGATATTGCCCGTACAGGCCCTAGACTCAGACTGGATGGACTGGTACCTGCCTAGACCTAGCCTACCGCTACTGGGCCTCTAAAAATGCCAACTTCATCTTCTTCTGCTTGGCCTCGAGTACCCGGCACATCTACTTCTACTGGGTGCGGTACCGGCCGACCTGAGACTTGAGTGCTTTTCCGCTGCTGTGCCGCGGGCCTCTTGCTCCGAGTGGTTTCCCTGCTGCAACCCTCAATATCGCGGCCACAGGTAAGTACTGGCCCTACGGGCCTCCGAAACAAGCAAGTACCCTTGCGGATCACACACACACACTCATGCCGCAAGCACGCACACACACACAGACTTGGAGAACTCAGCAGAATGTGGGAATCTCAGCAAGGCATCCATTCCATTGGCAGAACTCAGAAATCAGCAGTGTTCTCAGTCTGTGTTATGGCGGGTCATTAATGGAAAGTGTGGCCCTGTGTCTAGCTGCATTGGCCTGGCTGGGGAAGTTTCCAGTAGCTTCCAGTTAGGCCCCAGTGTCTGCACCCAGGCCCACCTCTGCTGTTACGGGCCTGTGCCCTTTACAGTCGGGCACGTCCAGGCAGCCACCCAGGCTCCGAGTGTTCGCCTCATTCTCATTGGCTCGTGGAGGTTGTGTGACGTCAATGCTGCTTTGTCACTGGTCCACGGTCACTGCGTGATGTGTCGGCCTCCCATCGTGTGTGCCCAGGGCGCAACCAACAAGGGCCCTGGGCTCAACTGTGCAGCGCAGCTGTTGCTTCTGAAAGGAGCCCGGAAGGGCTCACATTGCTTTGTAACAACTGGCGTGCTGCAACTGTCTGATACCCGACATATGAAGAAAATGTCGAAAAGAGGCCTCACGTGGATATTCAGGCCTGCCTTCACTTAGGGCGGGCACGAGGCTTGCTGGGGGCCGCACCCCAGAACACTTGTATGTTTGATAAGGGCCCCGCGAGGGCTCATTCCTCGCAATAGCTTAGTTTGAAAAAAAAAAAGTGAAAAAAAAAATGTGGATGGTGGTTTTCTACAGGGGAGGGGCTCCGCCTGATGACGTGGGCTTGGAGATCTTGCGACCCCTGAATTTGCAGCCGTTTGACGTTGTGTTTTTTACTTGGGCACTGGGCCCTAATAAAACTACTGTTCAAAAAAAAAAAAAAAGGGGAGATGGAATATATTTTCTAAGCGGTTTTCTCGTGATTTTCCACAGTCTGCTGATTGTCAGTATTCTCACGCCTACGACGGCCACCGTGAAAGAGAGACCGAGCACTTGCTCTGCATCTATCCTGAATTTTCCTTCCCTTTTTTTCTTCTTCAGCCCCCACCCATAGAGCGGACAATCATATACGGCCTTCCTTAAACCACCAGTACTTCCTAAAGTCGTGCCCGTTAACAAGCCACGATCTTAGGAAATGTACGGGTCACTACAGGAGCACCCAAATTCATCCGACTAGAAACGTTTCTGCTCTATTTTTTTCCACGGCCTATAGCTGGGCCAAGTACTGGTGGTTTAAGCGTTGGCACTTCGACCACAACATTGACAACAAGGATCCATGGCCTTCCTTGATCTTGGTGAAACATTGATGATGATCATCGAATGGCCTTTCTTGACCGTTCGGAACTCGTTTGCGATGGCCGCGATCGGATCTTGGAAACTCAACTCTTGGTATTTTTATTCATTCATTTTTTTAATTTTATTTTAAAGAAACCCCCGTATTTACAGGAAGGAGTGATGGTAAGAGCATACACTCCTTCCTGATTACTCCAATCTATTGGTGGGGAGCATCCTGATTCACGGAGGACTCCAATCTATTGGTGGGGAGCAACACCTGCTGGAAAGCGGGTCCAGCGTCCCCTTGAATACAATATCATATTAGTAGCATTGATCCAAAAAAAACGACCAGTACCCCCTTCCATCCAGATTTAAAATAGAAGAGTTTTAATGCCTCTTCACCCATCCTGGGCGCCAGAAAGAACTTGCAAAACAAGCACCTATCCTCATCCATTTTCAGAACACCCCAAAAGAGGGAACCTTTCTCTCAAAGACTATTCAAGGGGCTATCCATACCAAGAAACAGGGACTAAAAAGTTACTTGGAGGGGGAAAGAAGTCCAGAAACTCAGAGACAGGACTGAGGGGTATAGAAGGGTCTATAGAACTCCAATCATGAAAAATCAGCCGATAATTCCTCTTGATGGGCTCCTGAGAGTTAGTGTGTCCTTCTTCCCAAATTACTTTACCCAACCTCCCTCCCCGGTCCCCGCCCAGCCACCATTTGTTGAAAAGATTGAGATTTGATGCCAGATATCATTTCATAAGGAAAACTGAAGAAGTGTTTCTTTTAATTGTTGCCAATTAACCGAAATTACTGTTTGAATATGTTGCTTGATAGAATCCGTAAAATCCGGTCCATCCAATCGGGCACCCTCCATTTCAAAGGTGCATCTTCTTGTCCAAATTGCCCAGATAATGGCTTTTCTACTTGTTGAGAATAGATTAGTAGTAAACTCATCCTTTTGGTCGGGATGCCAAAAATCCAGAAGAAGGGCCTTCCAGTCCCATGGCCATGCCTGGGACGTACCCAGCTGGTTCCAGATCCTAACCCACCATCTCCACAGCCAGATCGACCCTGGACATTGCAGGAAAATATGCTCAATCGTTTCAGGAATAAGTTTAGAAGGAAACGCTGATTTACATAGTCTGCACCATGGGAAGGCTAATCCCTTCTGTTCCAACGATGTCCTATCAATACTCCAATCATTTGTGGGGAGACATATATGCACAATTTGCCATTGTAGGGAGGCTATACTAGTAGGTTTGGTTCTGGTTGGTTGGAACCACTTAATCTTTCTCAGATTGTCCTTACTCACGTTCAACTTCTTATGCCATCTTTCCTCAATGCAGTCCCTTAGATTTATCCTAGGTCGAAGCATCCTGTGTGTGGCTTTAACTGATAGGTTGTGGAGGTTCCTTGGGTGTCGGTTACTATGTTTCCCAGGAGACGACCACTTCCAAAAAAGAGGGTCGAAAGGAAGATGAGAAATGGGAGTATCAGGCCTAAATGCAATCCATTTTTCCTTATCCTTCAAGACTCTAATCCGGAAGAGTTGATCAGAAGAAGCCCAAAAGGTATTATCTAGGCTTTTGACTTGAACTCCATCTTCTTGTATAAGGAATAGCGAGATTAGTATCTGATTCGGATTATGGATTCCAATTATATTCCCAATTAACCCTTTTCGGTTATGGAATGCAACCCAATCACCCTCGAGAAGCTTAGGACCTTTTCTTAAAATTCTGATCCAGTCCAAGGGAATTAATTCAATTATTTTATCGAGGGCTGCGACCTGATGATGACTATACTTAAGCCGATCATGAGGCTCATCAGGCGAACACCAGTCCCTACTGTCTTGGTTCCATAAGTCTTTAATCCTCATAACTCCCCTCTTAATCCAGCCATTCCAAGGGGCATCCATACAATGCAAGACACAACCTTGATTATCTCTAATAAACCTATTATTCAATAACGGCTGCTGACAGATCTCTTCCCATCTTGTCGGGGATATCTTATCTGTGATGGGCAACTTCCTCCAGTTCTTCATTATTGTAAGCCAAAAAGGATCCTTTCTAAGATCTCTCCTTACTGCTTGTCTATCAGTGAGGTCCTGTTGGTCCGGGTCCCCGACGAACCTCGAGGAAGCGACCCGGGAAAGATTCTCAAGCCACATTAAAGGATCCGTATGGGCAGGGACTTGGGGGGCTAGTCTTTTTGATCGAACTTGGAAACTTGACGATGATGATCGAATGACCTTCCTTGATCGTGGGAGCTTGATTGTGATATGGTGATGGCCGTGATCGGATGGCCTTCCTTGATCGTGGGAGCTTGATTGTGATATGATGATGGGCATGATCAGATGGGAGCGTCGATGACCATGATTCCATGGCCTTCCTTGATCGGTTGTTGGGAACGATAAGGATGATCGATCTGTTAGCCTTGATTGATCGCCAGAGCTTGGCCGACAATTGATCAGATGGTCGTGATCGAGCTTGGGAACGTGGACGACGATGAGGGATGGATGGACTTGATTGTGACAAATTGGGCGACCATCGAATGGCCTTTCAAGATCAACGGAACGGCGGCGATGATCGTTCGGATGGACTGGACTCGATCTTAGGAGCTTGGACCACAAGGATCAAATGGCCGACCAGCTGCCAATGATGGACTGGACTTATAGGGTGGGCTATTGGGGTGTTATGGGGGTGATATGGAGGGTAGGGTGGGGGTCTTGGTTGGTTTTCTTTTATTTTTATTTTTATTTTTATTGTTTGTGGTGCTGACCAGCTGCTGTGGCAGGTGCCGACAGGCTGACCGGTTGGCTGGTTGGCCCCCGACCAATTGCGGGGTGCTGACCGTTGGGGTGACAACACTGCCTACCAGTATATTTCTGAAAGTGGTATTGGATTGCTTATGTTCAAAACAAACAAAACAAAAAAAAAAAAAAAAAAAAGAGAAACCAAAAATTCACAATTTTTCATTTCATTACCTTGCAACTTTCGACTCTGACTCAGTTGAAACTGTTTGTTGTGGCATCCATCCTCCGTTGATTAAATCAGAATTGATGGGAGGCAGGCTGTCATTTAAAAGCCAACCGGGTGTGGGGACAACATTCAAATTTGAGTGCAAGCTCAAGTGTCCCAGTACAATAAGTATGTTCCAGGAGCACTCCCTGCAAGGACTAGAGGTGAATGCTGATGGAAGGGCTTTCCACCGGGCTTCAAAGCTCCAAGGAATGTGTGCGCTTGTGGTGGATGATGGCAACGTTCGAAGAGAAGTTACTGCCAGCTACTTGCGGAGACTTGGTGTAAACGTGGAGAGTGTTGCAAGTGTCAAGACTGCACTGGAGATGCTGGTTGATTCAGCTATTGGTAGTGGTGGTCTTTCAAGGAGATCAGAAAGCGAGAACAAAACAGATGGAGCAGTTGACAGATATATGAATGGCCTCATGCCCCATTTTGTTGACATGAGCGTTGGCGGCTTGCGTGAAGCTGACAGAAGAGTAGTGGACTCCACCACAACGAGACATTCAGCTCATCCACTGTACACAACACATGACAGTCGGGCGCTTGTTGAGGTTTCAATGCTTCCACAGTATGGAGAGAAGGATTATGAATTGTCAGGTAGTGGAAGAAACGGTCTGGAGGGGAGTGGATTTGTTTCCATGCATAAGGCCTTCGGTGACGAGAGCGAACCTTTGAGGAGAGCCTGCAGCAGAAAGCATGGCTTTTCATTTATTGTGTTTGACTCTGGACACAGTCAGGTGTTATGGACACAGTTCATTGATATGATTCGTGAGGAGGTGACTAAATCAATCAGGGGACTTAATGGGAAAATTAATGGATTGCAAAGTGTGCTCTCATTGCCACCAATTTTCTTGATTCTTGGGCAACATGACAAGAAAGTTGAGATCACCGCCAAAGAAGCAGGGTATGTTGACTGCCTGATCAGGCCACTCAGACTTGGAGTGCTCGCCAAGGCACTTGTGCAGTCATTAGGTTTGCTCGAAGGGGGTGATTTACGGAATCGTCGCTGCAGCAGCCGCATGAAAATAGCAGCGACCCTGAAGAAACTGCTTGTGGGAAAGAAGTTCCTGGTTGTTGATGACAACCTTATAAATCGCAAGGTGGCAACTAGCTTCCTCAAGAAGTTTGGTGCAGCTGTCACGAGTGCAGAGAGTGGTCATGAGGCACTAACCTTTCTCCAGATACCGCATGATATTGACATGGTCTTCATGGATGTGCAGGTGAGTCTGAGAGCTATCTTTTTTTGTTAATTACTTTATTCTCTTATCCGGTTGTATCGGGACCTGAACTCAGGTCTGTATGTCAACAGTTCAGGGGTGTACCAAGTTACCAACTGAGCTAGGCCAGTTCGTAAGTCCGTCTGAGAAGTATCTGTTGCTATCCCCCTCTTCCTTGCAACATTTCAAATGCCCTCTGTAAGCAGGAGCAGCCTTTGCACATTATCAGGGTCCCTTGTCATTGCCACATTGCACATTAGCAGCCTGTGCACTAATGGGGGAAGTGGAGCTTTGGAATCTCTCCCTCACTGGGAGTGGTTGCAGCATTTATCCAAGGTTTACTGGTACTGTGAGCTGGCTGGGTCTGTAATCCCGCATGCTATGGTTGGGGCTCTGAAGGTAGGCCCGCAAGCCATTAGGAAAGGCTATATACTTACATGCATAACCATCTAGTTTGACCTGCTTACACTTACCGTGATTCTCTTCGGTATATAATCACATGCATGAGGACTTTTTCCAACTCAAGTCTGGTGTGAACTGTTGCGAGGGTTGTCCAGAAAAGCCCTTTGTGATGAAGTTGTTCTTGACATGCCCCCTGTCCAAAGGTATGCAATGTTTTTCCATGCTACCTTTGTGATGGCAATATATTTCCATGATAGCTCTGCAATGAATTTGTTATTGACGCGTCCCCTGTCCTGGAGGTATGCTGCCGCCTTCCCTCTTCAATCCTTTGTGTACCCTTATGGGGTTTCCCAGAGGAAGGCTGAGTACCATACTATGGAGAAGATGGAAGAGGTATAAGGGCTCTTCCCATTATGGAAGTGTAGACTTTTTGCCAGCCTGTAAATTCGTTGATAATTCCTGCTAGCGGATTGGTTGCTGTGCTATCACTTATTCCTTCCTAGGAGTCTTGGAGACTCACATCCATGAAACTCCCTTTAATTTCATCTCTAAAAGTGGTCCTCACATCATGCGTTTTGTGGGCCCAACAGAAATCGACCGGGAGGGGGCGGAACTGGGTGTCTCACGCGAGGACACGGGAACTTCGTGCTTTTCCCAGTTCGAGCCTGCCTTTTTCCCCGCTCCAGGCTGGGTTTGCGAGAAAGGTTCAGACCCCTGTTTTTTTTTTCTTTTTTTTTTTGAGGCGCTTCCGCTTACCGCAGTCATTTCCCCCCCCCTTCTCCTTTCACGGGCCGCTTGCGCCTCACGTTTTTTGTTTTCCCTTTCCGCGATCGTGGTCAAATACAAGTACATAGCGAGCAGGAGAACGAATGTCCGTTTGCGCCAGAGAACGAGAACAAATGTTCGTTTGTGCCAGAACATGGGAAAACACACCGCCTAACAAATCTCATTCTAGAACATGAGAACATACACCACCTTTTTTTTTGTTTGTGGTTTCCTCATAATGAATCTCGCGCCAGAACGTGGGAACATATACCGCATAACGAATCTCGCATTTTTCCAAGTTGACCTTGTACTGGTCCTGTCTTATTAGGAGCCCTAGCACAATTTCCACGTGCTCAGCATGCTCCTCTACAGTCCTACGAAAGATGAGGATATTGTCGAGGTACATGACGATAAACTTGTCTAAGTAGTCATGAAAGATCCGGTTCATTGCATGCTGGAACGTCCCAGGAGTATTGCATAGACTAAGGGCATGTACCTTATCTGGAAAGCGGTTCCTGCACTCTATCCAAGAGGTCGCCGATGCGAGGAAGGGGCTTCGCGTTCTTGACGATGATGGCATTGAGGCCCCTATAATCAATCTGCATCCTTAGGGTACCCCCATTCTTCGGGACAAATAGAACACTCGCATCGGAAGGGGAGGTACTAGGCCGGATCCAGCCTTTCTCTGTGAGCTCCTTGAGCTGTCGGCAAAGCTCATTAACTCCGCAGGAGACATCCTATATATTTTTCCCCTAGGTACCTTGCTACGACGAATGACTTCAATAGCCGGGACCCTAGCTCATTCAACTACCACCCATTGCTGCAAAATCGGGGGTCTCTATCACTGACTATAGAAGTGGGCGGTCCATGGTGAGTGACCCACCTCTCTGAGAAGGCTGCTGTCACAGCCGGGACCCTAGCTACTTCTGGCAAGGGGATTGGAGAACTTGTCCACGCAGACCATGACCTTACGCATACCACGAGGGGTGGTCTTGCCTAAATCTGTGAAATCAATCGACACAGATTCAGCAGGGCCATCAAGTATGGGTAAGGGTTTGAGTAGTCCCAGAGAAGGTCTACGCTGGACTTTATTCCTCTGGCAAAGCTCACAGGTTTCCACATATCGCAGCATATCACTCCGCATCTCCTTCCAGAAGAAGCGCTGCGACAGGGCTGCATATGACTTTAAGAACCCAAAATGTCCACGTGCATCATGACACTGACATCAGCAGTGTCCTGAGCCGCTGATCCTGGGGAATGCACAAGCGCTCCTCATCTTTGTTGTAGGTATACAACAAGTCTGAACTCAGGGCATAGCCGGGCTCAGAATTGGGATCCGCTTGCAGATTCCTGACTATGGGTCCATAAGTCGGGTCCTGAGGCAGAAGGCGAGCAATGGTCTGACGGGTCTCCTCTCCAAAGGAGTGAGTAGAGGAGATCAGTGCAAAAGAGTAGGCCTACCAGAGAGGGCATCTGCTACCTTATTGTAGCAGCCCTTCTTGTGCTTCAGTTCAAAGTCAAACATGTCGATGAACTGAACGTAACGTGCCAACTTGTCATTTAACTCTCCCTGGGACTTCATCCACTGTAAGGTGGAGTGATCAGAGAAGATCTTGAAGTGTTTTCCCAGGAGAAAGTGCTTCCAATGTTTCAAGGCACAGACAAGAACATATAGCTCTTTCTCGTAGGTAGAGTCCTGAAGCTTCTGAGTTTTGATCTTCTTACTCATAAACTCTACAGGCCGTAGACCATTCCCATCATCTTGCTGAAGAGGGGTCCTCACTTTGCTCACTTTTGGACGAACACTTCTCTTACCCCTCCTCACACTCTCAAAAAGAACACCTTCTCTCTCCCTTCTCTTTCTTTCCGCTTTCTGCGCACGCGTCTCAATATCGAACATAGATAGTTCAAATAAAAGAAAAAGACAGTAAATCACCAAGAGTAGAAGGTAGAACTCCTAGCCGGAGCGGCAATTCATTTGGACTTAGAGAATGGCATTCACGCAGCAGAATAAAGATAAATAATTAAAAAAAAAAAAAAAAAAACGAACAAGAAGACTGACTTATCGAACGGGCCTGATCGGATTAGCTAAAGATCCCCTCTTGTCTAACCTGACAAGGTAGATGTACCACAATAAATCAGCCGAAGAAAACTAACTGCAGCAATGGAGATTTCGAGGGGTGCAGACGGTCGCCGAGCCAGACGCGGGGCAGTATGTGAGAACATGCAGTAAGACCAGTCAAGATCCCCTTGAAAGGAATGCCCTTACTAGTCGTATGTCCCCCAAATTCAGCAAAGCAAAGAGATGCATTGACGGCAACAGATTTGGGCCCTAAAGCTCCTGTCCCGTTGGGCCTGGTCCCACTGAGTCCCGAAGGTCCCAAGTAGGTCGTGGACCAGGACCAACGAGATAGGTGTACCAAGTCAGTCCCGAACTGCCTCTACTGTACTGAAAAGGAAAAGTACAACTTTCAGCAAGATCTTACCCCTACAGCCGTTCAGAAATGAAAAGACAATGCACCGTAGAAAGATATGTCATTGAGAACAAGATACATCATCCATCCATCAGGTGAGAAAGCAATCCACATGCTCACACACACAACCAAGACCCCAGAGAGGAGGAAGAGAGCCCAGCACACCTCAACAGGCCACGAAGCACCAAGCAACCTCCCACGGGCATAACCAGGTCACACGGCACTTACCTGTGAGGCCCGGCCTCCAAAGATGGAAAACGACTCACCCTCCTCTCTCATAGGTCCTCCTGACCTCTAGCTACCACTACACAAAGTGTCCTAGCATGAATAAGAGGGCCTTCCTACACCCCTGTTACAACGCTGGATCCTCCGTCGATGTCTGAAGACCAAAGTAGCAACTTGCAGCTCTTCGATGCAGATATGGAAGCCTTCGATCAAGTCTCCCTCTTGAGGGGAAGCCCAAAAGTCACTCAATGTCTTCTTGAAGTGCAGATTCCAGGTGCGAGTATCTCTCACTCTCTACTCCCTCTCGCTTACTCCAATCAGCCTCCTTTGTGTCTCGCCACCCCATCCAATCACACAAGCAACCTGGTCAGGTCTGATGTCGACCCTACATGACCTAACCAGGTGCGTGCAGTATCCACATACCTCACTGCCCCTCTTAACCCTAATCCGAGATTAGGTTAGCCCTAACCTAATTCGGAATTAGGTTTAGGGTGACTAACACCTCTCGCCAGCAAGTAAGTCCGCTCCGATACCAATTGTTACGATCCTGGTCATTCCCAAAGCGCAAATTCACAATGAAAGACAATGCCACCCAATTGCGAAAGAAATGAAAGCACTTGCAAAGAGATAGAGACCAGAGAAGACAGAAAGAAGAAGAAGAAGAAGAAGAAGTAGATGTACACCAGCAAGACCAATGACAAATCCCCCTGCTCTCTCCACCTTCCTCCTCCTCCTTAACTTCTCCAATCGTATTCTTTTTCCCAATGATAATAATAACAATGAGTGGATGAACCAGAATCAATATCCGAAGTTCCCTCTTACTGCTGACTCAACAACAACAACAACAAGTCCACCATAGCTATGGCTTCCCTCCTTCTTCCTCCTCTCACATGCCTAGGCTATGGCGGACTACTGAGGGCCCTGCCCTCCTGTCCAAAGGACAACCCAAAGCAGCTATGGCGCTGCACTCCTGTCCAAAGGAAAACCCAAAGCAGCTATGCCGCTGCTGACTAAGCCGCCATGCCTGACTCTGCCTCGAGCTTCCTTGGTGCGGCACTACCCCAACTGGGGCCTTCCAGATGCAGCGCCCAACAAGGTGATGAAGATGGTGTCCACCATAGCCAGGTAGGTGCCTCA